GATGTCTTTGTAACATCCTAAAAATGAAAATATTAATTGAAATCATCAAAAAGGGCTTGTTTTGAAAGATAAATATTCATTTGATCGTGTTTGTTTGTCGTGTTTGTCTTTGATCGTTCTCCACTAAAGGTTAATCTCTTGGCTTTTGGAGTAATCATCTACAAAGTGTACCGGCATACTGCTGTGAAAAAGCCTGAAATCAGTCACTATGAAAACATCAGGTAGGATTATATGTACTGTTGTTGAGAAGGTCAAAGGAATATAGAAAATCAAGTTGTAAGTTCCCTATCTGGTGGATTATCATGGCATCATGTGGTGTTCTCCAAATTACAATTAGTTCTTTGTTGTTGTTGTTTTGGGGTTTTTTTGCATTCACCCGCAGGTCCTGCGCCCGTGGTGCCTTGGCTCTGCTGTTCGTGCTGGGAGCCACCTGGACCTTTGGAGTGCTGCACATCCTCAATGAGACCACCCTCACCGCCTATCTGTTCACCATCACCAACGCCTTCCAGGGGATGTTCATCTTCATCTTCCTCTGTGTCCTGTCCAGAAAGGTAACATTTTGGTTGGGCTTCCTTCAACTTTGTTTTCTACGTCTTTTGCATTTAATTATTCAACATTCATTATGACTATAGTTGGACAGTTAGCGGTTCGGATCAAGACAAGAGTTAAATGCTGTGTTGATTCTGCATTACTACTGATTCATTAACATGTAAGCAGCATTTTAATATTGTCAAGGTACAGCAGCTAAATCTATTAACTGTAATTTTAAAGCAAGTAAAAAAATGGGTTAGTTTATTCTACAATAAAGTATATTTTATAAACTGATCATATGTTTTAAGCACACATTTTTTTTGCGGAAAATTATTACTATAACTAACAGCTGTGAAATATATTCAGTGAGGTAAAAAGCAAAAAATCCTCACTGTAATGTAGTGAAGTAGAAGTATAAATAATCATAAAATGGAATAAAGTACCTCATAATTGTGCATGTTGCAATGCGATATTATATTATATTATATTATATTATATAACTATAATATGTTTTCATCTAAATCCTACCTTTTTGAATGTGTGTTCCAGATTCAGGAGGAGTACTACAGGCTTTTCAAAAATGTGCCATGTTGTTTTGAATGCCTGAGATGAATTAATGCGACCAAAGCCTGATCATCTGCACTTGTACAGCGATAGTCGACACTACAGCTCTGCAATATCCTGTGATTCATGCTTTCATTTTTGGAAAATGATGTGGGAGGAATTGTTTAGTACAGATGTCTAATAAATGAGAACATGTAGCACTTATACTTTGTAAATGTCTTGTTTCCCTTTTAGAAGACTGCCAACATAATGTTTGTTTGTTGGTTTTATGTTCAGGATCTTTCTGTACAATGCAAACATACAAGTCTTTCAACATGTTCACAAAAGGTATTCTTCTGAGAGTAATACAGGAATCAAAATATTTTGTATATTTTCAGTTTAATTTAATGCCTTTGCAGCTATTAGCATTACACCCCAAATAATCTTCGCAGTCTGTTGTCTTTGTTCCTTTCTTGTGTTTGAAATTGATTTGTAAATTATTAAAATGATTGTGGCAAATTAACACATATCTCTACTGCTTGCTTCTTTTATGTGCAAAATCAATGGTCTTGTTTAATGCATCGTACACAGCTAAGTGTACAGTAAATTAAAGATGAGTTCTTAAAAGGACTGTTTCCATTATCTGACATTTAGAAAGTCCAATGGCCCCATCTACTGGATGTAATGAGGAACTCTCTTTCTACTAAGCCCTAACACTTGACACAGACTCATAGCTACATAGTCAACTCTTCATATTTATTATATTTGTCTACACAATCAGACAAATCAAAATTATTTGTAGCTTGTTGGTCCACATGAGCTGTGTTGTAACATTGTTGTTGCCCTTTAATGCTTTGTGATAATGCAATGTACATGAGTAAATGTTGTGTCCTTACAGCCTTATTGTCATCTCAATCCTCAACAAGCTATATCTCCCTGTGTTATAATGAGTTTAAGAAGCATCTGCATAGGGCTGGAAAATAAATCAAATTATCAAATTACTGACATTATGAATATTTTCCTATCACCCATTCCCACCAGTAAATAAGTTTAACTGCATTGCAGGGGCTGAAGGTATGGCCCTGAAAGTGGGAGGAAAATTTTTTGGCTAGAAAGTCAATGTTCCTGGACAGGGAAAGCCGGAAAGCTGTCGCATCCAGCTTAATCCAATGCCTCTTTAACTGCACTAGCAAATCCTGGTACTGTAGTCTTCCCAAGTTATAGAAGATAAAATGTCTCCAAAAATAAATTGATCAGAGAGTTCTTAGGTCTCGGGCCACAAGAGCACAGAGAAACCAAATGATGCAGCTAAGCTGGCTCCCTGTCCAGAGTCCAGAGTGACAGTTAGAATATATAGCCCAATGTATAGCCCAAAATTACTTATTAAACTTCTTCCCACAGGTCAGAGAGGCTCACAGGCACAGCACTAGGTCCAGTGTGGCAAATCTGACACTGCTTAGAATCAGCAGCCAGATGGGTAAAAATAATTTCAGATACTCGGGTGCTCAGAATTGGAATAACGTTCCTTATAGCAATAAACAGACTACAAACCCAGTCACCTTTAAGGAAAAACTAAAACACTGGCTGTTAGATAACATGCTCCTGTAAAGGCCTAATATTGATTTGTTTTTCACTTTCTTTCTTTGAATGTCTTGACTTAGACGCAACCAGATTTACAACTAGAACAGACTCAACCAGTCTGTAGACCTGCTTGACCTAAACCTATTATAGTGGCACTTCAGTTGTGTCTAATACTGTAAAACGGTGGAGAAAAATCCTGAATTTTCTATAAATAAGTACTAGGTTTGGTGGATGAACTCAGATCATGCATGACCAGTGGTAGAGGAAGCATTCAGATATTTTTGCTTAAGTAAAAGTGCTAACTGGCGCCCGGATAGCTCAGTGGGTAAAGCTGGCGACCCATGTACCGAGGCTGAGTCCTTGCTGCAGCGGCCCAGGGTTTGACTCAACCTGCGGCCCTTTGCTGTGTATCATCCCCTCTCTCCCTTTCCTGTCTGTCTTCAGTTGTCACTATAATAAAGGCAATAAAAGCCCAAAAAATATACTTAAATAAAAAAAAGTAAAAGTACTAACAATGCTCTGTAAAAGTTCAAGTATTGAAGTCCCCTGTGACTATTACACTAATATACGAATATTAAATCCTTCGATTATTATTGCCCTTTAATGTGAGAGCAGGATTTCACTGTTGTAGCTGGTTGAGGATCCACCAAAATAAATTAAAGTGATTAAAATAATTAAAAGGATCTGTGAAACTGGAACCTTGAAATCTTTTACATCAGGACTGGCCAAAATTGGCCCGCCACAAGGTTTGATTTGGCTTCCCGGATATTCATAGTGAAATAAATAAACATACATTTTAAATTTGTATAATATAAAATCGCTGTTTTATTTATTGTGAGGTAAAAAAAAAAATATCTTTAAATATGTATGTGTCACTGCACAAGCCAGTCAGTTGAGGGAAGGTGGGATCTTAGTACCATTTTACAGTACTAGTGTTTGCTTTTGGCCCGTGACCCACCACTACATTTCAGCTTTGGTCCTCCAGGGGAACAATTTTTGGGCACACCTGTTTTACATAAATAAATATGAATTATTATAGTTCCCAATTACTTTCATGTCAAACAGTGAATCGGTTAATTTATTAATCATTTCAGCTGCACTTGCACACTGATAGTTTAATTTATATTAAAACATAACATTTTATAAGCCCTTCTTCCTTATTTTGTATGCACAAAGCTTTAATAGTAAAGTAAGTAACCAAAGCTGCCAAAGAAACGTAATGAAGTAAAATACTTCCCAATGAAATATATAAAAAGAAGCATGAAAGTAACTCAAATTTGTACTTAAGGACTGTATTTAAGCGCACTTAATTACATTCCACCACCGGACATGACTAAACCCAACTGTCCAAGATATTCTTAATGCTTTTCCCACTCTTTGTTTGTCCCATAATATTCAAAACAATCCACATTTCTTGATCCAGTTTTAGGACAAAAATGTGATGTGGGAGCCCTCTACTGGCAGATGCTGTCATGAAATGAACTGAAGGCTGGAAATGAAAGAGGTATGATGACTGAGAGAATCCTTAAGTGCGATGACACAAGGGACTCCTGCGTTGTGCAATCTGAACATAACCCTGAAAGACGGCAAGAATAGACACTTAGTGTGATTGCTTCTTGATGTCATCACCCTCAAACTGCAAATATAAAAAGGGCCATCTGTGGAGCGCTTTAGACTGAGGCAGATTTTAAAATCGGCATGAAGAGCAGTGATTCACCACACTGTTTGACTTTGTGGTATCCAGGAGGAGAGCTTTGTGATGCCAGGGGACAGCGTATATTTTTAAGACTGGGAGTTGCTGATATATGATATTCAAGAAGTAAAAGAGTAAACCAGCCTGCATCTGCTCTTTATTCCTTCACTCCACGTGGCTGAGTTTCACTCAGGGAATAAATGTGGATCCCACTGGGTTTATCCTTTCATTCAGCTGTGAAAAACTTGTTTACATAATTTTCTGCAATGAAAAATTAGGTTTTAACTCTGATATATATACAAAACAAGCCATGTTTAGAGCTCTGGGTTTATATAAGAAAAAACAGAAATATCTCTTTTGACATACAGATATAAAAACTGATTTTCAGTGATATAATAATTTTTTTTAAGCACAATTAGAAAGTGAAAGGTTTGTTTTTAGAGTTCATATATTCGCTCATTTATTTTTCCCAATATTGTAGGGACGGTTATCTTTCACACATTAATCATGTCACTCTGACAATGTCACAGGTCAACGTGGCTCTGGTGCAGACAGCGTGTGATTACTTTAAATAAGTCAGTTGTCTGAACCAGACCTCTGTCCTGCTTATAACCTCAATGAGATTTCCCCAAAGAAACCCACACTGGTTTATAAAGGACAAATCTCAGGCATTAGCTTCCACTCAGGTTCACCATGCAGGGGCTCCTCTTCTGCTGCCTTGTGGCCCTGGCCAGTAAGTTTTCATTGATTTGTTCATATTATTTTACTTGTAAAAGGAAATCCCTGTCCAGCCTTGTAATTCTTTAACTTCAGTTTCTGAGTTTTTGGAAATGACTGAGGTTAGCTTAAATTGTGTACTTTTTTGTGCATATTTGCAATTTTTAACAAGAAACATACTTTTTAAAAAGGATATTTAGGTAATATATTAATCAATTTGTTCTTAATCAATCATAAATAACTAGTATACAAGTAGTTTGTGCATGAATAATAAAAGAGTGACCTTTAGAGGCACGTCAGCTATCATTTATGGAATAAATCCATCTGTTTGTGTTGTTATTCATATATTTTTGTTTAGTTTACACTGATAAAAAAAAAATTTTTAAGAATCTTCTAAAGATTCTTTTGGGAAATACATCTTCTCACTATAACATGTTATCTCTTGGATTATTGTTTTTGTAGATCATAACTCAAATCAAGTAAAAAATGTGCTGTTATACTCACAAAAGTTCTGATGCTGATACTATGTTTGACTTTTATTCCTTTAGCATGTCAGAGTGTCCATTATGGTGAGTCTTTTTTATCATAAAAGTAAAAAATAATATTTTAAAAACTTTCCATAACGAACAAGTGAAATGCCATTTCATTTTGGAAACATGTTCCAGAGCTCAGCCTGAACCCCAAGAAAACCTACGAGTACAAATATGAAGGAGGGGTGAATTTTGGACTCGGCGCGCCAAACCTTGCAGAATCCGGTGTGAGAATGACGTGCAAGGTCAAGATCGTCGGTGTGTCTGCACAAACATTCATCCTCCAGGTGAGAGTCAAACTTTATCAGAATATGTTGTTTAAAGATGTTAGAAGTACTGTTATTGAGTAATGCAGCATAATCACTGACATGCTGTTAATTACTTATTCGTATTGATTCATAAATCAAGTAATTGGCAGACCATGATTTGTCATTTATCATTTATTCATGTATCATAAATTATTTGGAGGCCAATTTAATAAAACATCTGTTGAAAGGTTGTACAGACTGAAGCCTCTGATCCGTCCTAAAATAACTATGGAGTAAAATAATGTTAGTTTTGTGTTAATTGCTGAAAAGTTTTGAAAATAAGTTCAGAGATTGTTTCATACAAATGTTCCACAGTTATGCCTTTGTTTCTATCTTCTATAATGCAACAGTCATCCTCCGGTACCTTTATGTCTTCAGTTATAAACAGATGCTGCATTCAAACTCTGTTGCAAACATTGTAATTCTAGTAAAGTAAGGTTAAACAATCCAGTAACACAGCTGAGCAGAGAATGAGACTGTTTTCACGTTGACTGCTCATGAATGTGCTACACAAGCAATAAAACTGCTTATTTCCATCCCTCGTTCAAAGGCTTCAAATTTGGTCTTTGAGGAGTTCAACGGCTTCCCGGGGAAAAATACCTATAATGCCTCCCCAAAGCTCACGCAGCGTATTGCTGCCCAGCTCATCAAACCCTTCATGTTCAACTACGCTGGTGGACATGTCAGTGACATCCATGCTTCTGCTGAGATTTCTGACACTGTTGTCAACATTGTGAGAGGGATCCTGGGTTTCTTCCAAGTCACTGTTAAGACAACACAAAGGATCTATGAGCTTGAAGAGGTAAGTCACTGCTTTCCAATAAGCTACTCTCTGCAGAGTCTTCATTTATTCAGCTAGTCCTGCCCACAGGAATGGCTGGGCCCTTGTAAATCTCCAGTGAGTAGGCCCTCCCCAAATCTGCTTTACTTATGAACACAGGCGTGTGCTCTCTATCCTATGTGAACCCATACATGTAAACTGAGAGAGCTTTACTCGTGATGGGGACTACATAGGGATAGGCACACACTGGTGGGGGTGGCACTGGGGCTCCTTCACTGACGCTTGGTACCTTTTGACTAATAACATTAGCCATAACGATAGCCTCTTGGCTATCATTCCTCATCAGTCTGACTTGGAGCTGACAAAAGAAAGTTGGTAACATTATCATTTGGACCTAAAGCTTCTCCTTTAAATCACTCCCTATTTTTGTTGTCCTTTCATTTCAAGCACCATGACTTATGTGCAGGCATAGCAAGGAAATTCACTCGAATATTTGCTAGTAGTTATTTCTGAGGACAACGTTTGACATTTTAAAGTTGCATACAAAAAAATGACTCATACTTTTTCAGGAAAGGGGGTTTTCATTATTATTACACAGGCTATATTTTATAAGAGAAACAATAACATCTTAGCATACAATTACAATCAGTAAAAATGTTTAATTAAGTTTAATTTTGTTTGTAGGTTGGCATCCATGGCAAGTGTCAGAGTAACTATGCTACTGAGGAAAATATGGAAACAAAGGACATGACCATCACTCAGGTTGTGGATGTCAGTGGCTGCAGGGAAAAAGCTGCTATCTACAGGGGAATGGCTACAGCTGTGCTCGATAAGATCTCCAAACAGGTCTGTTCATCTCGCTGCAGAATGCATCTGATTCTACAATTATAAATTAAACACACCAAAGTCAGTGCTATTTTTGTTTGTGTGTCCTCCAACCTAGAGAGGAGAATCTGTCATTTCAACAGTGAGATATGTTTACACTGTGAAACCAACAGAGGAGGGAGGTCTCATTACCCAGGCTCATGGCCTGGAGCGACAGCACTTCAGTCCCTTCAATGTGAAGGGCGGCAGTTTCAAGATGCAAGCAATGTAAGACAAGAAAATATCTGCACGTTATGCCTGCTCATCCACAGTTCTTGTCTGCAATACAAATCGGCTGCTTTAAATAACTTCTGCAGGAAGGAAATGGTGCTGCTCGGTGTGAGTGACACAGCTAGAGCCGTCATGTTTGGGCCAATGGAAAGCAAGGGCAACCTTGTTTACAAGTTTGTAAATGCAGAGGCTAATGTCCCCATCATGATGCAGAACCTGGACGACCCACTACCAAAGGTAGTAATATATTTTGTATTTATAAAGATATATACTGCTGCAAAATGGAAGTCATATTTTTGAAAAATCTTTTCAGAAAGGAAAGGAAGCACTGTAAAATATATAATAGTTCGATAAATATATAGAGAGGGAGAAATAGCAGGAAATAGTCAAATGGAATTTAATGGAAAAATAAACCTTTTCTAAAATAACTGCGGAAAGCATTTACTGTCTCTTATAAAGTGGATCTCAAGGAAATGATTTTGTGTACCAAGGACCTCATGCTAGAGAGGCAAACATTAATGAGTTCTATCATTTTGTAAATGTCAAAGAGAGAGAGAGAGAGATTTTTATTTTTCAAAAGCTGTACTGTTGCATGTGAATGCTTTCTCTTGCATTGCTGTATCTTTTGCTTACTTAGTCATATGGTACGGCTGCATTGTGGCTAAAATGTTATGTTATGAATTTATTAAGAGAAAAGGAAAAGTAAGGTATTTTGTTATTTACTCTGCTTTATCTTTTTACCTGTCTATCAATGCCCTGGCATACATACATATATTCATGTTATTGACAGAGGTTACTTGTTGATGCAAACCTTGTGGAAAATAAAATGAAAAGTCGGTCACACTGTTCCCCTTTATAGGCTGTTGAGTTGATCAAACATCTGGCTGAGGCTAATAAATACGAGATTGACAGTGCGACTACTGAGGATACTATAAAGCTGTATCAGCTTCTCAGAGTGATGCCTTATGAAGAATTAGAAGCTATGTGGAGGCAACTTTCAGGAAATGAGGAGCACAGGTGAGTACTGGGTATCATACAGTGTTGGGGGATTTAGGGACCCCTTCTCAACTTTGATGTACTTGTACTTTTCATTTGAACCTACAATATACTTATACACTACATTACTACATTTCACAGGGAACTATTATACTTTTTACTACACTTTAGTACTTTTCAAAATTTCACAGGGAACTATTATACTTTTTACTACACTTTAGTACTTTTCAAAATTTCACACAGAAAACTCGTAATGAGTTTCTTAATGATGTATTGTTAAGGTCCAGTGTGTAACATTTAGGAGGATCTAAATGGATCAAAAACGGAATATAATTTTCATAGGTGTGTGTTCGTTAGTGCATAATCACCAGTACGTATGAATTGTTGTGTTTTTGTAACCTTAGAATGAACCGTTTTTATCTACAGACACCGTGGGCCACCTTCCATGGAGTTAATCATAGTTAAAATTAGTTCTACATTGAGCAGCTACAACATTAATAGTATTTTTACAGTAATAATATTCAGACAATATCAGGCGATAGCATTATAATGACAAGGACCACTCTGCTGCCTAATTAGTTATTTTACTGTTGATAAGTTAAGTACTTTTTGTTGCAAATAATTTAACTAAAGTACAATTTTGAATAGATGAGTAAAAATAAAAAATGTTAAGATAATTTTGGGGGCTTTTATTGTCTTTATTTGATAGTAGCAGCTGTAGAGAAACAGGAAAGTGGGAAGAGAATGAGAGGGAGATGACATGCAGCAAAGGCTGGAATCGAACCTGAAAGAGTAAAATATCTAAATACATCTTCCATCACTAATTCTGAATAATAAAGAATAGAATCGTCCTTTTACAAACTCCATTAAGAATGTAACATACATTTCAGATATGACAGATATATAGGATATATATAAGAAATATATCTGGACTACATTTTAAAAAAGGCATATTTGCAGTCACATCCTCCTTTTTAGGGGCCTTGGAACTGTCCTATTTCAACCAAATGGCCTTCAGATGACATTCATATGCAACGATTAATGCTTTGAAGAACATGTAAAACTGCTTAGAATACATCTATCTGAAGTTTACATACATTGAGCATGTTCGATTGCAATCTTCAGCTCAGTTTAGGGTTTGCGTTGTGGAGGTTGGGTGGTACATGGTTGTGTAAGTGTTGCTTCAAACACGATCTGTTATTAGTACATTTAGTCAGCATGTCTTTGTACTCAGCGAGGACACTGCAGTAAGGTTTGAAAGAGAATATCCTTCATAGATATCCTTTAACCCAGCTTTTCATTACAGTATTATAAGATTGTGAACAAAATGGTCCAAGGCCATCTCTCAAATCTGATACTGATCCGCTCAACTGAATTGCTAATTGAAGAGTATCCACCCACTTAGTTCAGGAAGGATGTAGTCTGGCACATTAACACTGGTGAAAGATTTATTATCATGTGAGGCATGATGACAGAAAGGTGATGACTGTAAGACTGCTTTCCATGCTCATTAAGATTAAGGCAGCCACTGGCACCTTGTATTTCATCTTGTCCAAGAGCTTTTAAACATGACATCTGAACTTGTCGATAACACCATTATCTTTTAATTTTGCTCTCTTGATTTATTTGAAGAATAATCCTTATTTTAAGTGTTGCCCAGTGTAATATTACTCTTGTCTTTCACCTTTTAGACGTTGGTTTTTGGACATGATTGTTGAGGTCAGTGATGCCAGGATCCTGAAGTTCCTGGAAGTCAGGTTCCAAGCTGGCGATATATCTGTCATAGAAGCTGGGGAAATCCTTCTGCTGGCGATTAACCATCTCCAGGCTATTCCTGAGCTGGTTGAGATGGCTAAAGTAAGTAAATGCTAAAGACAGAAACTGCATGTTAAAGAACGATAATTTCCAGATCGTGTCAAAATGTCTCTCTCTTTCCCAGATGTTCCTGAACATGCCATTTAGTAAATCCAACATCTATCTGTGGCATACTGTGGTGCTCACCTATGGTTCTCTGGTGTACAAGCATTGTGCCTATTATACCCCCTGTCCAATAAATGCTGTCCAGGTAATCTAATGGAAGAATAAATCGCTTACCTTTGATAAATATTTTAGATTTTAAACAGAAACAGTACCATAAGTTAATGTAAAATGACAACAATTTGTAAAAACTGACTGCATATTTGTGTAACATCTGTACTAGCCACTGCTGAATATGGCCATGGAAAGTCTGAGGAATGGAAATGAGGCAGACATGGTCATCGCTCTGAAAGCTCTGGGGAACGCAGGTCATCCAGGCAGCATTAAAACCATCATGCGCTTCCTCCCCGGTGTTGCTGCCACCCCGGTGGATCTCCCACCTCGTGTGCTGAGTGCTGCTGTGCAGTCTATGAGACTGATAGCTGCCAGAGACCCTCACAGTGTAAGAACACCGCTATGCAGGACATGTAGGAGTAAGAGAAGACGCGTTAGATGCTTATTTGTCACAGCTCTATGCAGGGTTTATACATTACAATGGTAATTGCGTATTCTGTGTTACATAGTAAAGCTGAAAATTAAATAGGGAATTGACTGAAAAGGTCAAATTTAGCAGTGGTCTATTCTAATGCTGAAAAGTGTTTTTCCTTTTTCTTAATTCACAATGACAAGTCTGATTCACGCTATCACGTTATCTTTACTTTGTGGAGGTACATCATCTCTGTATTTATATCTACAAGATTTACTGTAATCTTCTTTTCAAAGTTTATTCCCGGTTCAGAAAATAATAGACTGTGTTGGAACCAAGATGGAAGTCCCTCTGCAGTGGGTGGTTGGATGTTCTAAACTCCATTTCATTATAACACGTTTGTTTCAAGGTCCAAGACATCACCATGAGTCTGTTCCTGCAAAAGAACCTTCCCACTGAGATACGCATGCTGGCTTTCATGATCCTGTTTGACACTAAGCCACCGTTGGCTCTGGTGTCCACAGTAACCGCACATCTACAGGAGGAAAAAGACCTCCATGTTATTAGTTTTGCATACTCCTACTTGAGAAGCTTTGCCAGATCCAGTACTCCAGAAAATCACTTCCTGTGAGCAAAACAATGCAGTTATAATCATTTGGGTGTTGTTTATCATTGCTAATTTCCAATATTCTCCAGCTTTCAACTTTCTTTTTTGTGCTCTATACAATAGCTCAATTGCCTGCAATGTAGCCGTGAAAATCCTGGCCCCTAAGTTTGGTCGTCTCAGCTATCACTACAGCAAAGCAATGCGCATGGACTGGTTTAATGGTATGCTCAAATCCAAAGTTTTTTGATTCTTGGATTTTATTAAAACCTTTACATGACAACTTACTTTTTCCCCAAATACAGATGATTTCCTAATTGGTACAGCCGCAGAAGTCTTCATGCTAAGAAGTGCAACAAACATCTTTCCCACTGAAATCATGATGAAAGGAAAATTCTTTTTCATCGGTAGAATTCTGCAGCTAATGGAGGTTCAGCATGATACATTAGCATTGAAACTTTCATTGAAGATAAGCATGCCTTCCCAATCATGAATAGTAATCATCTGCTTTTCTTTTTATGCAAAAGTTGGGTATCCGTGCTGAAGGGATTAAGGAGCTGTTTGGCACCAGCATCCCTGGTTTTACAGGAGATCTTAGTTTTAGTGACTTTCAGGCTATTTTCAATGTGGTGAGTATATAACTGAGACTTTAAGGCAGTACTACAACTGTACTGAACTTTTGTTTGAGTCACCATTGTGCTCTGTCATTTCCAGCTTCAAAACTGGGAAATTCTGCCCAATGATAAGCCTCTCCTTTCTGCCTTTTCACGCGCCTCTGGACAAGAGTGGTTCTTTGCTGATATTAACAAAGACTTCATTCAGAACATCATCAGGGTGAGAGAATAATTAAACAAAGACAGATAATGGTCCATTTATGTCTAAGCCAGTTCAGTTAACAAAAAGGGCCATATTTTCATGCAGTGTACAAAGCCTGTTGTATGCTCTCCTCTGATCCTACTTGCAGGCTGTCACTCCTTCAGCAGGGAAAGAAAGCCCTCTGTGGGCTGTGATTGAGGATTTACAGAGGGGAGTATCGTGGCACTGGACAAAGCCCTTCTTAATCTTTGAGGTTCGCTACTTCCAAGCTACCACTCTGGGTCTCCCACTGGAGATTAGCAAATATTATGAATCCGTCAATGGGATCACTGTCAATGGTGAGAAGTCAAATCCTACAGCATGCGACCACCTTGCAAATCAAATGAGTATTGATTAATGACTAAAATATGTTATCTGATTTAATTAAAGTCATTTGTTTTGATGTAGCCAAAGCAGCAGTAAATCCACCACTGACTGAACATCTTGCACAACTGTTGAATTCTGAAATTTCACTGGAGACAGACGGTTTTATTGGGTAAAATATTTTTATGTTCATTTAATTTAATGGAGATATACTACCAGCATGTTAAGTAAATATCATCAGAATGTTTGTATCTTCTACTTGTACTTGTATTCATACTGTGGAGTTACAAATACTGAATTAACCTTCTCCTTTTCAGTTTCACAAAGGATCTTTGGGTTTTCTACGGGATCAACACAGACCTGTTCCAGTGTGGTTCTGAGTTAAAGAGCAAAATGCCCCTTGCTATCCCGTGGAAGTTTTCTGCCAAGATCAACGTCAGAGAAAAGAAGTTTGAACTCGACTTCCTTCCGTGCAAAAAAGAGTTTGAAGTCTTTTCAGTCAGGTATGTTTTAAAGGTGTGGGAAAAAACTGATTCAACGATGCTTCTTGTATGTTAATCATAACATTATGGTTATGGTAAATATAAATACGTATACATACATAAATTTTTTGTGTTTGTCTTGTGTTTCGTGGCCACCTCAGTTTCTTTGTCACACTTGGGGAGGGAAGAGTGAAGCAAGAGAGTTGCAATCTACACTACTAGATACCCTAAATCTTACACACTAGTTCTTATATATGTCTATATACATGCTATCCACGATGCAGCCAATGTGCCAATCTGTTCTCATTTTCTCTTCCAACGAACAGCTCCAATGTTTATGCAGTCACCAGGAACATTGAAGAGCCAACTTTGGCTAAAATGACTCCAATAATGCCTAACGCTATTGACTCCAATGATGAAGTTGTCCACATGGGCCCCACAGTTGTGAGGCCTGAGCCAGAGCAGGTACAGTAAACACTGTTTGAATTCAGCTACTTAAGTTCCACAGGGGATTAATATATTTTCCAATTCAACAGATGCTGACACCAAACACCTGGCATCCAATAGCCAAAATGTGTGCCGAGAGTAACATTTATGGAGCTGGTCTCTGTGTGGAATCTGAGTTAAGGAGAGAGTATTATCATGAGGAATATCCCCTGTACTATTTCCTGGGATACACCCATCTGGCATTCAAAGTAGTCCCAGGTATGCACAGCAAATCCAACATGATGCACAGCAATAACAAACATATGGCCTCAAGAACGTGACAAATATGTACCAGTTAAGGCAAACAACTCGAGTCACACTGCTAAACTCATATGAGACACAATACGCAGTGAAACCTGTGTTATAGCATTTTATTAGTGGGCTCCACTCAGACAGCTTCAGGAGCCATTTTTCAAGTTAATAACTTTGCTCAGTTGATACCACTGATGCATTTTGCAATTTTGACATGATGACTCTTCTATATTATATTACAGACTCACAATATTGAACTGTTGGCTCTTAACGGCCAATTCAAGACCTAGCCCTTAAGGATGGTTAGCTTGCTTTGGTTTTTATCTGTATGAACGGGGTTGGTTTGAACATTCTGACCTGTCTACAAAATAGTCAGGTCAGAACAAAATAAGAAAACAGAATTGCAGTTTTACCTCATCAAAGTTATGCTGCTGCTTCTATTCCTTAGAATACTTAACACCACACTGAAAGCAGTGTGTCACGGCCCTCTCTGGCTGAGCATTTCAAATCTGTTTTACATCAATGCAGCGAGTCAAAACACTGGAGGTCATCAAAAACTAGATTTTCAGGGGGTGTTAAGCGATTCATTGTCATTTTTCCTAATTCATTTTTTGGTTTTGAATAATGTTTTGGTTCCTCAGCTTGTGTTTTAAATTAGTATTATTGTTACGGGTCCCAGAATTGGTACCACAGCAACAATAGAGAAATCTGTAAAATACAGATAAAGTTCAGCAGCAATGCATACACAGAGTTTTCAGTTTGTCATCCAGATTGCATCTGTTTCTTTAATTCACAGTATAATACACAATACCTGAACATTTCCCTGAGTGTCAGTTTCTGTCTCAGTCCATACAGTAACTGTGGCTTAAGTGCCTAAAACATCCATGAACCGAATTGTTCAATAACATCTCACAGAATGTATTTACAGCTGTAGCTACTTCACATTTTTGGTGTACTTCTTACAGTTTTCTACTTCCAACAACATTCAAGTACACATTATCACCTGTATATGAGTGAATCAGGGCTACTATACTGATATAGTGCAAGTTACAGCAATACTCAACTGTACCTAAAGCAAGCAACATCTACTCTGCAGTGATTCTGGACTTACACACTTAATTTGAACACACTTATCACTCAGAGAAATACATACATAAACACTTTCAATGTAAAACCATTAGGACATAACTCAATATTACAATATAGTATTTTACCTTTTAAACTTTATACATTACAATATAAACATTCTCCTCAAACAAATGCAGCTCTGAAGCATTTAACATTTGTAACCATTTTCCTTAAGCTTTTAAATATGTCGGAGCCCAAATAACCTGTGCAAAGTAAATAAACCTAAAACCTGGCGACCTGCCTGTAAGACTATACACAGATAAATAAACCCAAAAGGCCACGGTGCAGCACCCGCCCACCCGGCGGTGTCTGAAGCTGTCGCCATAGACAGTGGCAGAATTTCAAAGTTTTAAAGTTCGACAGAAATGCTCAAAATGATATCAAAATTTTCACCAATACTAACCTGTAAAATATAGATGAAGTTCAGTATAGTTTTCAGTTCGTCATCCAGGTTGCATCTGAGGTGTGGGTGGAAGTTCCCCCCTGAGACAACCCGGGACGCAGTGCCAAAAGTTCCACTTGGGTGCTGCTTACATTTACTGTTTCTCTTCACAATACATATGAAAAATAAAATAGCATGACTGTCACCTAAATTATTGGAGATAACATTAGACTCTGGAAATCAAAGGAAATTACCTTTTAGCTAATTAAATTAAATAAACACAAAAGTGCACAATTTTGGGGTGTACCACATTATACTGTTCACAAAAAACATTTATTACTCTATGTGTGTGGGGGGATGGGATTAATGTGTTACATTTTGATTGTATGAAAAGCGCTATACAAATAAAGTCGGATTTATTGATTGATAATTATAAAGTAAAATAATTCAATTATGGGCAAGGTAAGGCAGATATTGGATTACATTTCTTTCTTAAGTTTTTTCTAACGTAGCCTGTTCCTTTTATTAGCCCAGGCAATCAAAGCTGTTGACAAAATCCACTTTGAGGTTAATGCCGGCCCGAGCAGACATCCAATGAGTGCACGCCAACTGCTTGACACTCTGAGGAGGCTTTCCAAGGTATTTGGCTACCCTTGCAATGTGTTATTATCTCTGCACCTGCTCTGGTGTTTTATCCATTTAAATTCTCCTGTTGCTCAATTGTGTTTACAGGAAGCCACCCAGCGAGTACGCCTGTCCTCTGATTCAGCCTCAAGTGTCAGAGGATCTCCTAACAACCATCAAGACTACCTAATGGAAGTATGCTAAACATGCTCCACAGAGAGTGACCCACATTATGTTTCACTGCACAAAATAGGCAGTTTTGTACTGAGCAATGTCATAATGTAAAATGTTTTAGTCTGTGGTCAAATGATATGAGTACAGCTATTTGTGTGCATAAAAAACACTCCATATAAAGTGGTGTTCATCTGACATCTACAGTAAATACAGTATTTTATTTAGCAAAAATTGCTTGTTCCTTCAGCCTTGTTGACTCTAACAATCCCCAGACCCATTGTCCACTACACACAATAGATGATACCCAAAATCCTAGCGATGCACATTCACAACAAGTCCACACATGACAATCTTAGATCAGTACTCATAGGGTACATTGCACATATGGATTGCTTTCTTTCTCATTCACTAGGGCTGGAACTCAACACCTGAAGCTGTGTTTAACATCAAAGCCTTTGCTATGAGTGGCAACCAGAAGCCCGAGGGTTACGATGCAGCCATCTACTACACACCTGAGGCAAACATTCAGAACGCCCAACTGATTGTGTCCCAGGTTGGAGAAGACACCAACTGGAAGATGTGTGTTGACACTATTGTGCATGCCCACGCCGAGGCAAAGGTAGATATAAAACACACAGGAACAGAAGTTGGGATACTTATTTTCATTCTTATCTGGGTGTAAAACATGTCTATGCTATTATCAACATTTTCCCTGTGAAGACTAAAACTAATAATGGTTGCTGCCCTTATCCTTTAAAAACATTTAAAAACCATTAACTACATTATATCCAGCCACTGCCATTTCTCCTTCCTTCACCCTTACTTCATCACATCTAAAATCTTTCGATACACAAAATACCATACCCACGTATGCTTACTCCTTTGATATTTCTTTTTTAAACATTAAAGGTCCAGGATCTATTGGCAGACACTAAATATAATATTCATAGTTATGTTTTCATTAGTGTATAATCACCTGAAAATAAGAACTGTTGTGTTTTTGCTATCTTATAATGAGACATTTTTATCTACAGAGGGAGCGGGTCCTCTTCCATGGAGGCGGCTATATTAAACCGCCATGTTTCTACAGTGGCCCAGAACAGCAGAAGGGACACTGGCTCTAGATAGGGGCCTTTGCGTTTTTTGCGAGTTTTGTGAGCTGTACTCAAATGGCTGCAACCTGCAACTCCACCGCTAGATGCTAGGTCCTTTAAAAACACAGATCAGTTGTTGTCTGGTGTCAGAGGAGCGGTGTTTAAATATTTTGTGGAAATATTCATTTACAGTAATAATAAAACAATAATCATAAACATGCCATCAACCTGCAGGGACTGCAGATGAAAATGAGCCCTTATGGCTAAGTCCAGCACATTTTCCATGATGGACTGAGGTTCTCACGTTAATAAATGTGCATTGTCCCTCCTTAAATAAGAAAACAATGATATTGTTTTGATCATGGATAAAGCTGCTTTATCACCATTTTTATTTAAACAATGGATCACATGATTACTTGTATGTGAAAGGGGCTGCTTGTCATGACAAACCCACAGAGTATTCACTTGAATCACCTGATTCTGCAGTTCTGCTCAACTCTATGGAGTGAGTCAGCATCTTTCATGTTATTGTTCAGCTTTTTTTTTGGTTTACTCTCACTTCTCTCATCAGCATCATTTTCAGCCACAGTAGGCAGCTGAACCAAATGGCAGCCACTAGCTAACAAACATGGGGGGAGCATTAAGCAGCTAAAGAGCCAGATATTACCCTCAGGAGTTGGTGGAAGAAGAGAAAAATAAGAGTGAACTTATACTTATAATAATTAATTAGAGGCCCAGTGTGTAGGATTTAGTGGCATCTAGCGGTGTAGTTATAGATCGCAGCTCCATCGCTTCACGCTCCCCTTCCAAGCACAAAAGTGAAAACTGCAGTGGCCGTGAAACGCACATAAAACGCCCCTAGAGTGTAATAAAGTCTTTTGTTTGTCCCTTCTGGGCTACTGTAGAAACATGGTGGTTCAACAAGGCGGACTCCATGGAAGGCGGCCTCCAGTGTCTGTAGCTTATTCTAAGGTAACAAAACATTTATTCACCTGTATTCAGGCGATTATACACAAATGAAAACATTGATATGAATATTATGTTCCATTTCTGCCAATAGATCCTAAATGTAACACACTGGACAACCTTTGCTAACAAATTCGCTTGAAAGTGTGAAAAGCAATTCTGGAGAAATCCAGTGCCATGACAAATACCATGAACAACGAGACAACAAAATGTCATTAAAGTTAACATGCAGAGAGGACGAGACGGTTTCCCACAGCCAGCACACCGTCTCCAAAAAGTGATAGTCACAATTCTCCTGCTACTATAGCTAACATCACAACAACAGCATATCTTACCCAAGCAGAAAATAAGCTGAATGTCCGTGGGCAAGTAATTTAATGTTACCTGATACACAAATCATGGCTGGGATGGCTGGAATAACAAGTTTGTGTTGTGTCACTTGGTGCGATCCACTTTCTTTGTTTCCCATTTACAAATCCACGGTTGTGTACAAACACACAGAGGAAGAGCCAGCAGACTGTGAGGAGTTTTAAAGAAAGGGTATTGGATTAGAATTGCATTGCCTAGATTCGTTTATCTCACCTTTAGGTTTTTTTTTTTTAGGTAATGTTTTGTTGACAGCTTGTTTCCACCCTTTGGCCGAAAAAAGTTTGAGGACTGGAGTAATGATACTGCCTGAATCCCTTATTATTAAGGAATGTAAAATGTAAAATATGGCTGAAAGAACATTGCATGTCAACAATGTTTTGAAAATGTTGCCGCTTGGTGAAGTTAATATACAGCCCTATAACTCTGTGATCTAAGGCATCTTATTATTTTGCATATTGCATATCAAGTCCGAATGCCAAGCCTTTTGTTTGTAGAGACTCCCTTCATGATTGATTTCTTGTGTTTGGTCTAGGCACACATCAGATGGGGAGCTGAATGTCAAACCTATGAAATGTCAATGAGAGGTGCAACAGCACATCTGCCTGGTTCCAAGCCAACCCTCAAGGCCAAAGTACACTGGGCAAGGATCCCTGAAACCATGGCCGACATGGGCAGAGGGTGAGACTCAGTAGAATAAAGATGCAGTTTGATTCAAAGCAGATAAAATGTGAGAAAGGGGGGTGAGACATAGCTAAAAAATAAAGTGAGAGATGACCTCGATTCACATTACAACTCTCTTTGCCTTGCACAGCAAGGTGAAAATATTTTTTTTTTAGTTTATGATAATGACACATACTGGCATGTGTGGTAAAAGGATTTTTTTTTTTTTTTTTTTTTCACCTTTCCCAGAATTGAAAGCTACATCCCGGGCATGGCTTTCCTTCTCGGTTTCTCCGAGCAACATGAGAGAAATGCCAAGCAGGAGGTTTCTGCATCAGTTGTTGCCGCCTCAGCAGACAGCATCGATATGAAGATTAAATTCCCAGAGGTGCAGGAGGAAACGTTCACTACCTACATTTTTATGCAAAACTCATTTTCATTGTAATTTTGACTGCTTTATTTACATGGATGTGCTATTTCTTCTGTCTTGTCATTAGTATACAGTCTTCCGCCAGGCTATTCCGGTTCCACTGCCACCTGCCAGTTTTCTGGAGTTTCAGCAAGACATCAGAAACACAACAATAGACAGCTTTGGACGTGCATAAAAACATGTGAGCTACATAAACCAGTTTGATTAAGCTTAATTGAATGTTCAAACGCACTTTATGTGGGTTTTTTTTTTTTAATATTGAGTAATTTCGTGTATCTAAGTGTGTGTGGCGGTGGATTGTTTTTACAGATTCTTATGCAAAGCAGAGGTGCAAAAGCAAGCAAAAGAGCTGTTCCATTTTTGCTTGCTTTATAAAATATGTTTTGTGCTGCAGAAAGACAACAAAGCCCAGATGGGAGCCAGATGCCTCTTTTCACAGTGATAACACCGCAACCAAAATCTCACCACCGTGATGAAAGTGAGGATCATAAAAGATGCATCAGTAATCCGTCAGATGTCACCAGTTTGGAAATAACCTGTAAAGGTCCTGATTTATTCATTTGAAAGCATGTTAATATTTGAACAACCTCTTTTGACGAAACATTCAGTGAATTCATGCTTATGTTCCAAAATATCTAATCTTCATAATACTGGATTTACCAAAAAAAACTGTCTCAGCAAGTTTTATTTTTTTATTCTGATTATGTCAGAATAAATCCTTTGTTCATCCAAACCTTGTTGTAAATCTGTGTATTTCATTACCGTAATGCAGAGGAACCTGTTTTTTTCCTCTTTCGTTACCAGAATCACATTTAATGAATCTCCACCAACTTCACTCTAGGCTTGTTAATGCACTAAGAAAGATTAAAATGTATTCTGGATTGTAGTTACAGTAGATCATTTCATGATAGATCATTTAGAACCAAATTGCTGATATAGGGCATTACACTAACTGAGGTATAATCTGAGCTCATTAATAAATATCACACAATATTGTTAAGTTAGACAATGATCAGCAGTACTGATGAAATCCCTGGAAACCATGAAATACTTGATGCAGATCAAGTTATAAAATCTTGTCTGATGCAACTTTGCTGCGTTATAAAAAGAAAGCAATTTGCATGACATTACATTTGCCAAATCTAATTTTCCTTACAATATGTAAGAAATGGAGTGGAAACTGCACAAAACACAATCCAAAGGCTGGCACATTTATCTACTCTACCAGCCAATTCGGCACATAAAATGTCTTTTTTAACAATCCCTGTACTCTATCCTGTTTGATTGTTTAAATACTGAATGTTGTGGGCGAGTTTTGGATTCGGAAGACTGGATCATGAAAGCCCCTTTTGGAGGGGTTCTGAAAGAGATGGATGTTTACAAGGTCTGTATGACCTGATGTGTTTGTTTGGTCAACTGACCCAATAGGATTGTTTGCAGATATCAGTACACAATGTCACTGTGCATGCCCTTAGAGTTCACTGCCTCCACCACACACACTCTGTGCCCTTCAGTAAAACTACATTATTTAATATTCAGAGATCTCACAGCAGAGGTGCAGCTTTGTGACTGGATGAAAGATTTGATCAACATTAATTGGTGCTCCTGAACAAATCTCAACTTTGAGTCGTAACAAATGGGATGTGTCAGTAGCCAAAGATAATGATTGCATCCTAACCAAAGACTGGTTGTCCTAACTACTCCTGGCTCTGCCTCTCCTGCCTACGCTGATTTAGCCAGATGGTGCTGAATTGCAGAGAAAAGACATCGCCATCAAAGGCGGAACAGGATGAGCACAATTATAATGGCACCATTATGTTCCATTTACATCTCTAATATCCTGCGGGCTTTAAAGTGCCAGTTGACAGACTGATTGCAAATCTGTTGCGCCTACATCAAGATCCACATCACCTCCTGTCATCTAGAACCCTAGACACCCTGACCTTGTGTTGACAGTTGAAATCAGCTGGTTAGAGAGCATTAGTCAATGATTGATCAGGTAATTTGGAAGAGGAGGGATAGGCCATCCCCTCCTTTTTATTGCTGCTCACTCTGTGATTGTGACTTGCCTCATTAGGCAGACTATACCAGCCTTGCTAAAAGCCATCTGAGAGTAGCTGATAATAAAACCATGGCTACAGACATTTTTGCCCAATTTTAGCTATTACTCCATCTTTTGTTCATAGCATAGAGCATCACTGTGGGCACAAAACATCAATGCAGCTGATGAGTTACATTATTTAACAAGTGACACTTCCATATAGAAAATGATTGGGGGCATTTTTTTTAAAAAGATAGCATATGTTAGGAAGTATTAACATTATTTTTAATTAACATATGGAATTTTGTGAAATCTCACAGAAGTCTGTACTGTTTTTAAAAGATGAAACAAGTCCACACTTTTGGCAATGACAACAGGGAGCATAATCCTGTGGTATGCATGTGTGTGTGAGCACTAGAGGACAGTGTTTACCAGACATTAAAATATGCCTGGCACAGTGCTTACAGCCTGGCACCAGTATTTGCTCAGTTCACAGAGAGGGCTATGCAGTGGATGTTGACTTTTTGAGGATAAATAAATATGTCTTGGCACAGTCAAAGCACTCCCTCAACTCTGTGGCCTGCAAAGAGAGGACACATTTTATTACAATTGTTGTGGCAGAAAGAGGTGAATCAAAACAGAATCAGATGTCCGAGACACAAATGTCAGATGGGGAATATCTTTATTTCAGACAGATCTTACCACCAACGCAGTTAGAGATATTAACCAACGATTACAGATCGTAACATGCCTTTTATACAAGAACCGGGCTGTGTGTGTGTATGGGCATACCGGTCTCATCCTGTCTTTCAGAACTCTTTGGCAAACCTATCTTACCAGGAAAGGATCATATCTCATGTTGTACTTTGACCACTTAAGGACATGCTTTTTGGGATCAACACTATGTGTATGATTGTGTGTGTGTGTGGTGACTCTCACTATTTCCCGACAGATGGCTGATTCCAAGTTGTGATGTCCTGGCTCTTTCACTCCTAACTTTCCTACATATCCTGTTGTTGTTTTCAGCTCTGTTCCAGGTCATAATGACTTGGCTCAAGTCTTGGTGACCGGCCTCTCACCCTTCCAATGGTACCCTAAACAGGAGAGGTCATAATGGAATTCTCCTACACAATATACAAATTAAAGATAAAATATGGCCGCACTATCTTTTTTTTTAATAATGTTTTATGCATGCAACACTTCTTAGCTGAATTCTTATTAGCCAGGGGAGCTGGTTTTGTGTCAGGTGAAGAAGAGCATTAGGGATCAATCAGGGTAATTTGGAAGAGCCATAAACTGGATTGCTTTTTCATCAGCGCACATGATCTAGACATAGACTGCCTCACCTTCTAATTTAAGGTATGCTGAAACAAAGCTTCTATGCAGGGCGAAATGTGAGTGGGAGCGACTGACATTATCACTGACATTATCAAGCGGGCATGTGGACCTTGTCATGGACACTTCATGACACCTCTGGAGGGCTCAAAATCTAACATCATCAAGCCTGCTGAGACCTCCACTGAGCTCACATTATTCCACCCAATATGAGCTTGTTGCCATGTTCCCCCGACGTTATTAAGAAATCATGTTGTGCTGCACTTAAGTAGTTGTGCTACGTTTTTCAGCGAAAGGCACATTTATTTTGAACCCTTCCCCTTGAGAAGCTTGGTATAGCACAACCCTTCATTTGAAGCATTACTGTCATCCTAAGAATATGCTTATGATCTCGATAATGACACATTTTAGACTGTTGTGTCAATATTCTAATGATACACAATTGCCTTGCTTTGTTATTGCTGTTATTTTGAATAGCAGCAGTGGTGACAGCCTCTTTGGGGCTTTTGTATAAACAGAACTGCCAACTAAGGTCAGATGGCTGAAGTGAGATTTTCCAGCCACAGGCGGTAAGAGCTGCAGCTCCTTGTCTGATGCACAGAGGTTGATTTTCTACTGAGCCAGTGCAGAAACTTATCATTTGAGGAGCTATAAGCTAATAAAAGGTGTATTACTAGCCCGAAGGCTACAGAAATATCATTGCCCATTGAATATTCAATCATAATGCTTATGCTCAATTCAACATCAGTCCACAGTGATCACTTAATGCTATGTGAGAGAAAGAATATAAGACTCTACAGAAATTAAAACCTTATTTATATATTTTACTTGACAAGTAATGTAGATAATTGCCTACTGAAAAGTTTACTGAAAATGAAAATGTAGGCTACAAAGGATAAATGATGTAAGTGTTGCATTATTTACTGTATGTGGGTTTATTTATCTTTATTTAAATAACATGTACAAGAAATTAGAGACTAAACTGCGTAGTTTCGTAGCAAGTTTAGAAAAGAGGTTGTTCTGAAAGAGCTGGACGGAGCCTTTTTGTCTCCATTTAATTAAGCTCAGCGGTTTATTGTTAAGTAAAAAAAAATTAAGAGTGTTCCCCAGTGCCCGTGCGAATTGCCCCATGCTGTCAGAGATTCAACCACTACACTGTTTTTGAAGCCAGGATGTTTTTTAATTGCATGCTGGAATAGACTCCCGCCCTGTGTGACCCTTAACAGGACCAGCGGTATGGATCAGTAGATTAGTGGTTTGAATATTAAGATGCTGATGAATGGCTGGAATATTACTGTTGTATTTGCGCTGGTGGATCCATCAGATAATACACTAACTTTGGGTATCCAAAAAGCAATTGCTTTCCTAAAAAGTAATTAGACATGTTTGATGCCTCCAGAATTCCACAAGATCTGTTTTTCTGCAGGGCTGTGAATCTTATGTGGGGTTTTTCTTTTACCGTTTGTTATTTTGCCATTATTATAGCGTCTAGAGAATTTAATTAGTTAGAGGGGGGGTAGGGTTTGGGCTGCAGCGAAGACACTGTCATTTTTATGGTCTCCATTCTGCTTTTGAGAGGCAACAGAAGGTGCATTGATGAAAGGTCTATTGTTTTGAGTAGAGAGTTAAATAGACCGCAACATAACAGTTTGGTAGGAACGATGACGCCCAAATATTTGTCGGTGGGTGATGGTAGCGATAAGGATTGGAAAACGAAATTCTAAATGCATAGTGCATATACAAGATTTGAAGGTATTCTGAGAACGTCATTGCTGCAGTAACTGTGTGTAGTGAGGTGTGCAGATTGCATAATATATTACCAGCACATACAGCAGGTTGATTAGGTGATGAGTGTTAATACCGAATGGAGACGGAGAAACTGGAATCTTCAGATTCTGTCAAAAGTAAAGGTCTTTCACATTTGTCTATTATTAGCAAGTAAATCAGTTAAAGCTGAACTGCAAAATGTCTTCCTCCAGTCAATGAACAATTATCCAAATCTTAATATTTCCAGGGATTTCATCAGATATGTTTCCAACTGACTCTAGGGTGTTTCTATGACAGTTTGTGTTTCAACCTGTGCTGTAAAATTCAATAGTCTGAATGTAACATTGTCTGAATATCCACTGAATCCTATCTTAAAGCACCAAATACCAAAGTAGTTTTACTGAAGCAGCTTCTGCTTCTATAATATTTTTGGGATTACTCTCAGCCATCCATAAAGTAGATCACTAATCTATAAACCCAGCCAGTGGCCCTAGTTGCAGTGAAGCTTGTTGCAACCAACCGGAATAAGCTTACACTAACCTGAACCCTGACAATAATGATCTATAAAGATAGATCCTTCCCTAAGGGTG